GAGTGAGAGAGAGAGAGAAAGAGAGAGAGAGACAGAGAGAAAGGTCTTCCTTCCGTTGGTTCACCCCCCAAATGGCCGCCATGGCTGGCACGCTGTGCCGGTCCGAAGCCAGGAGCCAGGTGCTTCTCCTGGTCTCCCATGTGGGTGCAGGGCCCAAGCACTTGCGCCATCCTCCACTGCACTCCCGGGCCACAGCAGAGAGCTGGACTGGAAGAGGAGCAACCGGGACAGAACTGGCGCCCCAACTGGGACTAGAACCTGGAGTACTGGCGCCACAGGGGAAATAAATCTTAAAAACAAAAAAACAGAGTATCATGCCTAGAGCTGGGCTCTGGGCCTTTGAGACACCAGGATTTAAGGCAGAGAGCAGGCACCAGTGCCGCTAGTGTAAGAAGCTGGCTGTTCCTACCAAAAGGGCGATTGGCCTCCTCAGGCATAAACCCACACTCAAACCTCAGAGTGGCTGGGATGGCCAAGCTCCAGTCAGCTGCCAGCCACAGGAGACACTGGGAGTACCTTGTTCCCAAGAGTGGTGCTGTCTTTCAACTCGGGCCTGCACTACCTCTCTGGCCATGCCACTGCTCGCAAGGTGAGCAGTTGAGAGGCCCGGGAGATGCGCCCACCTGGAGCCTGTGACTCTCTGGCGTCCACGCCCACCTTTCCAGGCCTGGTGCTCTGGCTACAAAAGGACTCCACAATTCCTTGCCCGGTCTGAAGTCTACGTGGGTCTCTCTCTCCCAGGGATACCCTTCCGGGTAGAGACACTGCCTTCTACTTGCGTACCTTTAGGTTTGAGAGGCGGCCATGGGACAGCTGTTGGGGGAGAGTGGTGGAGCATGCCTGGGCACACAGACTAAAGTGTCCACATGCATGCAAGGGCCCTTGGAGTACCACACTGAGTGCTGGGGGCTGGTGTGTCACTAGGGGCCTCCTTTGTATGGGCCTGCCATGAGCCCATCCGCTGGTGACACTGAAAACAACACTTGGTGACGTTGCTCTGTTCCACGTACCAGCCACCACTGGAGTCTGCTGTTGCCTAATCTACCTCCTCCTTCCAACCTGTGCCCTCAGGAAAGCTGCTGCCCTGAGCTGGCCCTGTGCTGGTGCTGGCCAGGGAAGGAGCAGAGGCCCCAGCACTGGCTTCTTGCAAGGGTGAACACCACACACCACAAAGGGGCAGCGTGAGTCGGAATGTGCCAATGTGCTTGGGTGCTGGCGTGCAAGTGAGCAAGGGAGAGTGAAAGAGAAGGAGGCCGACCACACGACACAGCACACATGCAAGAGGGAGAAGACGGATGCGTGTGTGTGAACACCCATGGCATGCAGGAGGTGGCTGGGGAGCCACCCAGCACCTACACCAGTCCCTGGGGACTGTGTGGGTCTAAGGACCTGGAGAAGGAGAATATGGAGGCAGGAGCGCGCCTCCTGATCTGTGTGAGCGTGCATGAGAAGGAACAGGAGAGCGAGGCAGGATGGCCGACTCCAGGAAGCACGCGGGGAGCCTGGAGCAGAGAGCTGCACGCAAGACGAAAAAGACTTGGAGGTGTGTGTCCGCCCCCATGGGGCCCTGGGAGGCGGAGACAGGCCACGCGCCCGTGTGCTGGGATGTGCATGTGTGTCTGAGAGCACGTGCTGTGACAGGTGAGGACAGACACGCGTGTGTGAGCATGTGTGGGAGTGCCCTGGGTGGCGGGGGTGGGTTCGAGCTAGCACGGTTGGTCCTGCGGCAGCTGCGGGCTGCCTGAGGGTGTTGGCAAAGCCTGAGGATGTCCCCCCGCCCCAGGAAATCCCAATCTGAGAGGGCTGGATGACCTGCCCGGTGCTGGCTCAGGTCCTGGTGACCGTGGCGGGGAATGCGGGTCGTGCCGCCCCGCTGGAGGTGTGTGGGAATCAATGAGTCACTCAGGCATGGCTGCCTGCATCTTGTCCAGCGTGGGGAAGACAGTGGGGAGCAGAGACCACGCAAGGGCTGCCTTTCTACAGCATTGTTATGGAGTTTCTGTGGCGCTCATGGGCACATTCTAAAAGCCCAGCAGCACCCCAGCTCCCTTGGTCTATGCACCTCCATTTCTTTTATGTCCAAGTTGTGGCACAGGTCAGGGGCTCCGGCTGACAAACAGCGATTGGGAGTTTGCTCCACACCTCACTCAGGATCCTGTATCTATCATGCCAAAACCCCTCCCCCAAGGTCTCCCTGTCCCCTTCTTCTTAGCACTTACCACTGTTTGCCAAATCATGTATCACATACTTTATTTACAGTTTCCCTTAACAGCAGGTGTCTATATGACCCTTGCTACGTAGCAGGCACTGTTCTAAGCTCCTTGTTAATTCACAGCATCTTCCAATAACTTTATGCAGCACTTTATGAACCACTTTCTTCCCATTGTAAATGAGAGCTCCAGAGAGGTGGAGTCGCTTGGGCACAGTCATTCCACTGTAAGTGGCAGAGCCAAACAGGGGGTCCAGAGGCTCTGCTCTTAGCCCGCGTGTAACACCGCCCTGTAAGGGCAGGAGGTTTTCTCAGTTTGCCTCACTGTTGAACCTCCAGTGCCCACAGCAGTGCCCAGCACACGCAGGTGCTCAATTCACAGAGAATGCATGAAGACCTAAGAGAAAAGATTCTGGACATGGAGGACGCAGGGATGAAATGGAGCTTTCAAAGAGCTCATGGTTCCACGGACCAGACAATCCCGCATCAGGATGGCAGCCTGGGAGTCCAGACAATTGCCCTAGTCTCGGGCAGGCAGGGATTAACAGAGGAAGGATTCAGACAGGGACAGGTACAGGGACACTGCCTCCTTCCTCCAAACTCCTCCTGGGGGATGAACACACTGTACGTCTTCCTGCCTCAGTCCCCAGTGCTCCAGAAGATGATGGAGACAAAACAGAGGACACAGGCTCTGGGGAGAGACTGCCTGAAGTCTGTCCACCCAACTCCAGCTAAGTGACCTTGGACGGGCTGCCTGGCCTTCCCAGGCATGGTCCTCTCCTATGGAAGATGGGGAGACGCAGCGGTACTGACTTCCTAAGGTACTGCATGAGGATGGCAACACGCGAGCTCCCCTGGAGGTGGCCAACACCCCTCCGCCATTCCATGCTGTTGGCTGGCTCTTGGGGAAGAGTGAGAGAGAGGGTCAGAATTCAACAGGGTATGTATTACTGCAGCCCTCTGCTGTGGCTCCTTTCCTATTTCAAGAAGCAGCTCGAAGCAGAATTCGTCCATGAACCTTCATCGGGGCAGGGGTTATGACTGGTGCATTTACCGCTATATGCCTAGCACCTGATACAGGATCTGAAATGCAGTAGGTGCCCAGTTGTTTGTTGAATGAATGACTGATTACATTTCTTTACTCCCTTGGGACCCCTGTGAGGCTGCTCACATTGCTGGTGTTTCCATTTACAGACAGGGACTGGAGGTCTAGCAAGGTTAAGTGACTTGCATGTAAGCACACAGCTTGCAGGCAGAAGAGCCAGACTCAGATACCACACCCCATGGTCTTTCTTCCCCACCAGGCTACTCTCTGCATGGCTCTAAGTCATGTCCTACTTCCCCTGAACTTTTTCCAGCCAGCGGGGCCGGCCCTGATTGTGGAATCATCTCCGAATTCTATGACTCACATCTGAATCACAGAACTGTTTAATAGTTGAAAGGGACTTTTGATGTCATCTAGACCTCCCACCCAGTGTGGAAATTTCCCCTGCCATGTCTGGCCAATACTTGGATGCCTCCGGTGAAGAAGCACTCGCCCTGGAACGCTCAAGTTCTAGGACAGGATCACTGGTAGAATCAGCAAGTTCTACAGCCACAGTTTTAGGTGTTGGGCTTGGGTCATTCTCCTAAGATACCAGAGTAGATCTGCGTCCCTTCTATGAGACAGTCTTTCAGATATCCAGAGGGCTCTCACATTCCTTCAGTGAATTTTTTTTCTGGTCCCCACAAGGATCCCAAGACCATCTTACTAGGCCATCCAAGGTGTTTTGCATGCTAGTACCCCCTACTGGACATGGGGGGAATTGCACTAAAGGGCTCACTGGTGAGGTTGTATGAGGAGCTGGTTCCTCAGGAGCCAGGGCACTGACACACAGTGTCAATCAAAGAACTGCTTATTTTGAAGAGTCACAACAGAGCAGTCACACCTGGTTGCTTTCAATGTCTATCTTCAACACTGTCATTCTAAGTCTCCCTGCCAGTCGCAAGGTTTCTGGCGAGCTACAGCTTTGGGACTTCTAAGTTAGAATTCAAAAGGATTCTGTTTTTAAACCACATATTTAGAAGGAGAGATACAGCAATGTATGCTGTGCTATAGGATTATGGTGATTTTTCTTTTCTTTTTTCCAATTTGTCTTTATTTCCTGGTATTTCTACAATGGACATTGTTATGAGAAGAAAAAATGATAGAGATTTTCTGAAAACGTCTTACCATTATGTCCCCCCACCCTCTTCCATTTATTCTTTCCATGATTAAACAACCGTGACCTTGTAATTTGGTCTGTAACTGGGATTTGCCAGGCCCAGGAGCGCCTAGGGCACGTCTCCGTAGTGACCGCAATGGCCTGGGGTTCAGCCAGCAGACTCCCCGTAAATGTGCTCCCCTGAACTCAGGCAGCAGTTTCATACTCACAGCCAAGCTCGTCAACAGGGCTGACAGGCAGTTCTTCCCATCATCCACCCCACCCTCAGTCTGTGCAACCTCCAACCTTACCTCTTGAAGTCTGCCCAACACATCGTGGCCAGTGGCCATGTCCCTATCAGTCCTGGACTCCCCGGCCCTTCACCCATCTCTCCACCTCCTGCACACCCTTGGCTGCCTTCCTTCTGAGCCTGGGGAAGCTCCAGATGATAAAAGGACAGAAAGACCTCAGGGATGAGAAAGACGAATCTCCATCGGAATGCGTTCCTCTGGAGCAAGCTCATGGCTAACCAGGCTCTCCGCTAGCCCCAGCATCAGCCTGGGTGTCCTGGCTCTCCACTGGGAGCTCTGGGTGCTGGGAAGACTCACCCGGCAGCCTCTCACTGCAGCACATGTCCAGGGCCCCTCGCTCGGAGTCATCGGCAGCGTGGTTCTCTTTCTCACCCCTGCAGTAGAATGAAACATGTGAGAGGGCGCTGTTGAGCCAGGACCGAGACAAAACCCTGAGCACAGAGAAGGCGGCCTCCTCTCCTGCACTCTGTGTCTCTTTGAGTAACCTCACCCCATCTGGGGGACCCGAGGAAAAGACCAGCCCGTGGAGGGGCCAAGCTGCAGAGCTGGGAGCAGAATCTTGCAGTGTTTTCCATGTGGAACCCGCAGCAGCACAACCACCACCATCATCCCCTCCACCATGGAAGGAGGGCTTAGCATGTGCAAATCACTTTACACATTTTGCCACCCTGAGTCCTCACCACGACCCCATGAATTAGGGATCATTAAACAGATTCAGAGGGGTTAATTAAGTTGCACAAGGTCACACAGCTCATTAGGGTGGAGTGGGCTTTGCAGTTACGATCTAGGACTCCAGGCTCATGCTTGTGAAGCAAGAAGTGGGGTCCGGGTAACACACAGTCCTGGGTCCAGCTCCCAGGTTCCTGTGCCTCAAGCAGTGCAAAGTGGCATGCACAACTCTTCTCCAGAAATAGCTAGGAAAATTAGTTTATGTATATATTGCATATTGTAAATATTGTCTTTCTGAAATCAGAACACCCTCTTTCTAGCCTATCAGGGCACGTTTTGGGTCTGTACTGGGGTCAAGCTTTTTTCCTTTACCCAGCAAGCTGGAACAGGGTTGCGGGAGATCCATCAGGCCCCATGAGGCATCTCCAGAGTGGACGTCTCGCGAGGGCAACCATGCCGTGTGCAGGGGTCCCCTTCCCTGGCAGTGGCCTGAAAGGCAGGCAGGAGCTGGTGTGGCTCCGACTGTCCTTTGTATCTGCGACCCTTGGCAGGAGCTGCCTGATGCACAAAGCAGGCTGAGACGATCAGGTCCTTCCCCTCCACGTTTGAAATGCGTTCTGGAGGGTCTGGCATCTGCAGCCCTGGGTACTGAATCATGGTGGCCATGGTGCCCTGGAGGGCGGGGCCTCGGAGCTGCTTCACCCCTGCCCAAGCTGAGTCTTGACTGGGCAGTGTGTCCATCAAGGCCACGAGACACCCCCGGAGTCTGCCAATCAATCCCCACATTATAGCTAAGGCAGTGGGCCCTGACTTCTGTAAACTGGCAACCAAAAGAACCTTTTGTACAGACTTGCTAGCGTAATGCTTCCAAGAAGTACTGGAGCCAGGTGCCCTCTTTTTCCTTTGAAAAGATTTATTTATTTATTAAAAGCAGAGTGATGGAGGGAGAGAGTGAGGGTTCTCTTCTATCTGCTGGTTCACTCTCCAAATGCCTGCAACAGGCAGGGCTGGGCCAAGCCAGAGCCAGGAGCCAGGAGCTCCACGTGGGGCTCCCGTGTGTGTGGCAGGAACCCAAGCCCTTGGGTTATCTGCTGCCTCCCAGGCACATTAGTAGGAGGTTGGAGCAGAAGCATGGAACAGCCAGGATTTGAACCAGAAACTCAGACGTGGGGCGCAGGCATCCCAAGTAACAGCTCAAAACATTTGCCACTGTGGCAAAACATCCGTCCCCTAGGCTTGCTCTGAGGCCTGTTTCAGGCCCAACCACAGACTTAAAATAAGGAAGGGCAGACAGGCTGGGTTAAGGCTGACCCTTCTCACCCGGGTATCTGCACTGTCAATTGGTATTGTTTTTTCCTTGCTCCCAGTGGCAGGGTCTCTGGGAATCCCAGGTCCTGGAGCCCTGCTGTCCTGCAGAGAAAGGGTTGATCTTTCAGGGCAAATGCTGAACTTTAAATGCTCTTGTTAAAGGTCCCCTTTCTCCTGTTCCGCCATTCTGGCCCAAGCCACCATCGTTTCCTCTCGTGCCCAGATTCCACATCAGTGTTTTGATTGGTTTCTGCTATCCACTCACATTGGCCTCCAAAACATTGCTCATGTGGCTCTAATACAAATGATGTATGCAGGTTGTTCAGTTTACAACCTGCACAAATGGTCAGAGCAGGCTTGACCTAGAATCGGTTCCTAAAAACTCAACATTTGTCACATAACCTTCCTTGAAAAAAACACTTTCACGGACGGCATCTATTAACATTTAGAACAGCAGTAACACTCCTCTGACATAGCTCTTTAGACCTGCTGTGGCGGGGCCCCCTTCTCCCTCCAACTTTGTCTCGTGTCCTTCTTCCCCTTGGCCTCTGCACCCCAGCCACAATGGACAGGCTCTTTCCTTCACAGTGCCTTGGTCCCTACTTTTATCTCTGCCTGGAGAGCTCTTCCAGTTCTGCTTCCCAGTACTTCTTACCTACGGAATGTGACACAGTTTGAAATTTCATTTATGCCATTATTTGATTAACATCAGTTTCAACCATTAGACAGTAAGCACCATGAGGGATGCACCCCATCTGTCTTATCTCCCATTGGATCTTTGGAGCCTACCAAGTACCTGGCTCATAGCCAGGTGTTCAACAAATGAATCCTTGTGGAATAAACGAGTTTTCCCTGACCTTAAAAAAAAAAATCAGGAACCTCACACAGAAGCTATCAACTGAGCTTCTCAGTGGGCAGGATTTATTAAGCTGCTGGGAGCCCAACTCAACAGCTGTTGTCCATAGCAGAAGAGAATTACAGATCTGGAAGGTACCCATTTTACAGGTGAGGAAGCTGAGGCAGAGAATGGGGCTGTGGCTTGCCCCGCATTGTGTATTGATTCGGGGGCCATCCATCCCCGACCTCCCGATCCTCTTCCCTTCCTTTGTCCTAAAGAGCACCCCAGCTGGAAAGCAGCCCACTGAGGGTAGACACCTGGCTGGGTCCAGAGAGGCCACCCAGGTATCCTGATACCTCTGGAAGGAGACCCATATATGACTCACACCTGCTTTCACACCTTAAAGCCTCCCAGGCCCCAAAACGTGTTCAGAATAGCTCAGTGCTGCATGTGTGCAGCAAACTCTATAAATATGCTTCCCAGAAAGTGACTAATTTCATAATCAGAAAAGCAGGAAGAGTAGCACCTCTTGACTGCAGAGGAAAATGGAGCGAGAGCGCACGGCTTGGCCCTGCAGTCGGAGGGCTTAAGTTTTCAAAGGGCACGGACAGCACTCGGCACTCGGGTTGGATGGAGAAGCCTGGCTCTTGCGGTCCTGCCCTCCTTCCTGCCTGACGAGACCAGTAACAGCAGCCTGCAGTGGCTCACTGCAGGCTCCTCCTCCTCCCTCTTCCTCTCCACCTCCATCAGCTTGACAACCAGGGGCAGAAACTGGCCCATGCCAACAGGCAGCACCTCTCTAGGCTGCCCCACCCCCACCTGCAACTGCTCTTAGAACTGGAGACCCCAGAGGAGGCAGCACTGGGAAATCACACAAGGGGTATCTCTTTCATGGATGGAGATGTCCTGGTGGTGAAGTAACTCCCCTAAGCCACTGCTTCATTCAGCCAACATTGGCTGGACACGTCCCCAGAGCAAGGGGCAGAGTGGACCCAGGAAAACAGCACTGGACAAGCCAGGTCCTCCTCACGGGCCCTCAGCCTTCTCGGGGAGCCACACACACAAACAAGTGAAATTTCAGTTTAACTTGTGCCTTTGAGTAATGCTGGTCTCAACCACTCGACTGTAGACTACACGAGGGAAGGACCACCACCTGTTTCACTTAGGACTGCTGTCTTTGGAGCCTAGCGCAGGGCTGGGCTTACAGGAGGGTCTTCAACAAGGACTTGTGGAATAAGAGTGCTGCCCCGACATTGCTGAGAAAACACCAGGAACCTCACACACTATCACGGTCCGAGCTGCTGGGAACCCAACTCCGCTGCAGGTGGAGGATCGCAGACCTGGAGGGTCCTCATTTTACAGGGGAAACTGAGGCAGAGAATGGGGCTCTGCTGTAACGGAGAATGCATGGGGAGTGCGCAGCTCAATCTGTGGTGAGGAGGAAGAGGAGGAAGAGGAAGCCTCCTCCAAGGGAAGACAGGAGCAGAGTCTTAAAGGATGTGTCCAGTTGGCTGCGGGGTTGCCAGGGAAAGGGCTTCTCGGGCAGCACACGTAGCAAAGGTAGGGCCCGCAGGTTCAAGATGCAAGGAGCAGTTGGCACAAGATTGAGATGGAGAGGCAGAGGTGGGTAAGGCACACGGACAGAAGCTAAGACTCGCAAAAGCAGCAGCCTAGACACCAGGAGTCCTGACCCCTGGTGGGGTGGCTCTTTGCCACTTGACCACGGTCACTCTGAAATGATGGGGGCGTCTCCACATCTGGCCTGGGCAGGGCAGGTGTGTAACAAGAATGGGCTGCATGGCATGTGTTGGGAGGGATGGACACTGGACACATCTGGAAGTGTCTCATCTGGTTCCAAACTAAATTTTTTTAGAACTGTGATAAAATTCACGTAGCATCAAAAGCAAAGCCTAGAGGTGAGAGCTGAATGGAGCAGTTGGTATTAACGGGAACAAGTGAGATGGAAAGGTAAATGGGGGCTCCAGTCAGGGTGTACAGTTCCGTGTGGGCATCTGGCCTGGTGATTAAGATGCCCAAGTCCCACAGTCGGGTAAATACCCAGCTCTTGCTCCTGGCCCCAGCTTCCTGCTAGTGCAGACCTGAGAGGCAGTGGTGATGTCTCAAGTGGTTGGGTTTCTGCCACTGACTTGGGAGACCTCGATGGGGTTCCTGGTTCTCAGCTTCAGCTCCAGCCCAGCCCTGGCCACTGCAGGTATTTGGGGGGTAAGGCAGCAGACTGTTATCTCAAATTTAAAAAAACTAAAATTAAAAAAGTATACATTTGGCAGCATACAGTACAATTTTGTGCCACCACCATTATCTAGTTCTGGGATATTTTTATCACCCTATAAGGAAACCCAGTCATTAAGAAGCCACTCCCATTCTTCTCTTCACTTAGGTAGGACCTGGCAACCAACGCTTCCTGTCTTAGGATTTTCACGGAAGTGGAATCACACAGTACATACACTTATGTTTTCTAGATCATCCGCACTGGTGGCACAGAGCAGCATCTCATTCCTTTCCATGGCTGCATGCTATGGACAGACCACCTTTCATTTCCCCATTTTTCAGTAGACGGGCAGTTGGGTGGCTTCCATCTTTTGGCTATGCAAGCAGTGCTGTTATAAAGCCAAGTTACTCTTGTATAATCTGCTCCCAACAAGTTTATCACTTTGGGCAACCTTTCCTAGTCCGGGGCCCGAGGCCTCATCTATGGTAGAACTTCAAAAAGTAGAAATTGAAATTAAATTTACATTGGTGCGAAAAAAAAAAAAAAACTTTCAGAATCTGTTGAGAGTTTTTTCATAAGCCACATTTTTCCTGGAACTTTCTGAAGAAGTATCGTAAGATGTTAAGCCTCTTGCAGCTTGAATGCTGTCACCTTCATTTCTTCCTGTGTGTATGGGTAAGTGAAGGGAACACATGTTGATGGCTTCTCCATCAGGGCTGGGGGCTGGCAACCCAGCCTGGACCACCCATCCTCACTCCCAGGAGCTCTTGCTCAGTGGTGGAAACATAGAGCAGGCGGGTACCTGTGGGCCAGATGCAGTGTTCTAACAGAAGCCTGTCCAGGAAGGACCGGGGTGAGATGGGAGGGGGCTACCTTAGAGTGGATAGAGTGCCAGCTTTGCCTGGGACTTCTGCAGAGGCCATGCTGACTGGTTTGGTTAGGTAGGACAGGAGCATGAATCTCCTTTCAAGGCGTGTGGGGAGTGAGAGGGGGCTTGGTCATGGACCCCAGGACTACTGGGAGGGAGGCTGAACCACCTCCAGCCGTCATGCCCTCAACCTTGAGCTCCATGCTCCTGGACCCCTTGACACAGCCCTCCTTGCCAACAGAGCTCCTCCCACCCTCCTGGGAAAGCTGTGACTCCATCAGGCATCTCTGTGTGCTGAATCAAACCCGTCTACTCCCACTTCCTAGTCTTTGTCCACACTGTTCACTCAGCTTGAAATGTCTCTTCCTCTTTTGCCAAATCTCATTTGCTGTGGCCGGACTCAGGCATAACCTCTTCCATGGGGCACTCCCTGATTTCCCAGTTAGAATTAATCATCAAATCTCTTTTGTCTCTGGGCTCTCCCCCCACAATACATGCTGCTATAGTTAGCTGTTTGTGCACCTGCCTCCCCCACTGGCTTCCGAGTGCCTTGGGAGCATCCTCACCCCCTCTCCCACCTCTGCATCCCAGGTGTTCAGCAGGGGGGCCGAGCCTGGTGATGCACCCGTTAAAGATCAAACGGAAGGAAGTGGCCGGGTCTCAGGGTTGGTGGCTCTGGGAGGCCAAATTCTGGCTGGGAGCTTTTCACCCTGGAGGCGGCGGCTAGACAATGGTGAAGGTGACCAGGAGGAGGCTCACTGTGCCATCCAGGTTTTCATTAGCATGTCAGTGTGCTGGGAGAGATGACATGCCGGTTTCATGGAAAAGATAGTCAGGCTAACCACCTTGTGTAAATGAGTTATGTGTTCCAGAGCATGCAGGTGGAAGTGGCTTGTCCTCCTCAATGGTTAGGCTGCCAGGACACCCCTACCCCCATCTCCTGGCCTCATGGTTCACCCCCAAGGTGTCTAGATGGGGAAAGGTGCCACCTGGGGCCAGGGCAGCAAGTTTTCTCTGCAAACAGCTAGCAGGAGTAAAGAGGTTACCATCAGAACATCTAGATAGGGAAACTGAGGCACACAGTGGTTAGGTAACCTGGCTTAGCTCACAGTGTGAACAGTTGTTATCTTTCTCCTCCCTTGAGTGCCCTGCCTGTCCCTTGGCACAGGGAGGGCCCCACGCCACAGCATGATCCCTTCCCATTTCTGCATCACACCCTAAGGCCTTCTGATAAGTCTCCTTTTTCACCTAAGTTATTCAGAGTCAGTTTCTGTTGCTGGCAGCCAAAGAAGCCAGACTGATGTGTGTGGCAAACTCAGGGAACAGATAGGCTCCGAGCCCAGGACTCCCAATGCTTAGTCCACTGTCCAGCCATCTGTCCTCACGTCTGAGCAGTCTGCACACTTGGGAGTGTTCTGGATTCCAAACACAGGGTCTGAGTGTTCTCTGCTTGAGACGAGCCCAGATGAATGAATGACTTCCCTTCTGTCCCTGCTCTGATGGTGGTATCTGGGGTGTGTGTGGCTGTAGCAGAGTCCCAAGGGAAGGGAACATGGTAGGGACTGGGTGGGCCCAACCTTGCTGAGGGGCTTAGGCAAGTTTCCACTCTTCATGTGGGTCTCATTCAAGGTCTGGGCCATTCATTTGGTCAACACACACATGACTACATACCATGGTGTGAGGTCTGGGGACACAAGGAGCTAGGAGCATCTCATGGGGGATGTATGTAAGAAAGTGGCAATGGCAACAGCAACAGAGTTGGCCCACGGGATGGGAGACTCCCAGGATGCCCTGGGAGCATGCTAATGAGGGAGAGGAGCCAGGGAAGGGCTATCTGCAGTGAGATGTGACGGAGGAGTGGGATGGGTGAGGAGAGGTGGCGTGTTTGGGCAGAAGGGGAGCAGGAGAATGGGCTGGGACTTGAGAGAAAGCAGGAGAATGGTGTGTTCTCCCTCACCTGCTCCCTGTCCTCCATCCAGAGAGCTCCCTGGCTCCCTTGGGGGGAGGTTTGGGCAGGACTAAAGGCCAAGTTTCTGGAGGAGCTAGCCTTGGTTCTCTGCTCTGTGGAAGCTGGGGGAGGCTCTTGGCTGGGAGGTGGGGTGTGAGGAGTGTAGCAAGATCTCTGGGCCTAGGAAGGTGACAGAGCCAGTCCTTGCAGGATTGGTGCCTGGGGTGTGTCTGTGTGTGTGGGGGGGGACCATGGGAGGACGCTCTGGGGATGACTCAGGTGCATGGAGAGGGTGGATCATGGCCTCTGGGGTCTGTGTGACCCACCCAGGGCTCGCCCGACCCAGGGCACAGAGGTGACAGATGACGAAGGGGTATCTCAGTTATAACCGACGTGGTTTCCTGGAAGCACGCCATGGCGGGCAGTGGCAGCAGCGGTGGGGGGAGGCACCCTCGGGAGCATTTCCTGCCAGCCAGGACTGACAAGGAGCTCTAACCCCGGGCTAATTTCATTGAAGGAACCTGATGAGATGACATTTCTCCCTCATCTGATAGGAGGGTTAAGAGAACCACGCATGCCAGAGCAGACTGTTGACCTGGGAGCCCACGGGAGAGGCAGCTGTGGCAATGCAGGTAAGAGGTGGTGTCTCCCAGCCCGTGCTGTGGCGGGGGGCTGCCTCCTCTGTAGGGCCATCTGCTCCCGCCGCCCTTGCTTTCAGACCACAGCCCCCCTCCATCCCTCCCAAGGCTGCGAGGCACGTTCTCGCCCTTCGTCATCGCTTACGCTGGCTCTGCCGCCTGCGATGCCATCACCTCTTTGCCCCCTCCTCTGAACCTGGCTCTGGCTTTCTGCTCCCGCTTCATCTTCAAATCCTAGGAAGCCTTCCCGGGGGGACAGTGTCTTTACCATTCTGAGCCTTAAATCTTAATCTCCCATTTGTCAATCAGAGCTGACAATCCCTGCCAAGCAGGGACGACCAGAGAGTGAGTGAAATGTGACGATGACCATGACGGTGCCTGATCCACAGCAAGCGCTCAGGAACAGTGTAAATGACCAATACACAGAGAAACGAGCGTGGCAGTGGAGGGAAGCAGATGTAGATAACATGCAAATCTCAGAAAAGGGCCAGGAACCGCCTGTGGAAAGGGCAGAGGGCTCTGAACGGTGCCAGGTTGTCTGGGGGCAGCCGCAGGCTGAGCAGAGCATCTGGGCACTGTGCCCTCCCTCTCAGGGACAGCGGGAAGGTGCTGTCAGGCCCTGAGATTTTGCCCAAAGGCCCAGCATGAACCGAGTTTACCAGCTGCCCTTTGCTCTCTGAGGCGCAGAGCGCTAGAGGGAGGTGTGAGGAGCCCCTGCCTTCTGTAATTCTTACACTGGGTGGGACGGGGGCAGCAGAGACACAGAGAGGTTCTCTGCAGGCCTTGGTCACCAAGCTAGGGTTGGAGGAGCAGGGGCCAGTGTGCACGTGGCACTGACAGAGACTGGGGCCTGTGGCTGATGCTGGTCTCATCTTTGGGATGGGGGGGGGGTGTCAAGAACCTGACTGTGTGGCGGCTCCATGGACTGTCCCGGACTCTCTCTCCTGGTCAGGTGGGTGAGGAGGGAGAGTGGGGAAGGCAGCATCAATCCCCAGTCCCGCACTCAGGAACTCCTGTGAGAACAGGATTAACACCAGGAAGGGCCTGTCTCTCTGTTGAACACTTATCACATGTGCCAGGCAGGGCTCCGAGGGTCTCACGTGTGCTGGCGTCTCTGACACGTACAGTGGCCCTACTAGCAACATGCTGTTACTTGGATTTTCTAGTGGCGAAAATGGAGATTGAGAGATGTGAAGTGATCAACCCAAGGTGGCACAGCTGGAAGTGACACCTCACCTCCCCCCAACCCCAACCTCTCTTCCCTTCCTCGTGTTAACTTTGGTGGGAAGCATACGGTGCATACAGAAGAGAGCACACGTTATCACAGTTGCTCTCCGTGCTTTTCAAAGATCCTACCATGAATCTGTGGTAGCACTGTGATGACACCCATTCTGTGAGAGGAAGTAACGAAGGCTTCGTGGTGGGGGGAGGGGGAGATGTGACCCTGCCAGGCTCACACAGTGGGAGCCCGACTCCCACACCCAGGGCCCTATAGGAACTCAACGGTGTGGGTGTGGTCTGGACAGCCTACACTGGACCGTGACCTCAGGTTTCTTCCCTGAAGAGGCAACAGTGCCCAGAGCTGACCTTGGGAGGCTTGGCCTGGGTGGGGGTGTGGGATCATGGCAGTGGAGCTCCATCTGTGGAGTGTGAACAAATGCACTCACCAGCCCGGAATCTATCAGCCCTGGCCCCCACCACTGGCTGCTGTGTGACCCTGGGTCAGTCATTTCCCCATCTGAGTCTCAGGAGCCTCAAATGAAAAATCAAAGCGGATGGTGGTCTCAGCATCAGGGAGTCAGAGCCTTGGTCAGCTGAGGCTGGCTAAAGGCTGCCCAACCTTCAAGTGTGCAGGGCTGCCCAGTCAGTGGGGAGGCTATGTCCAGCTGGGACGACTTGATGTTGAGGAGGGTCGCGAATGATTATGTCCACAAGATGAGCCAAAAGCAGGATTTGGGAGTTCAGGGCTCATGGGAAAGAACCCTCTCTTCTCCAAGACCCTGAGAGCTTCCAATCCTGCTCCCTCTCTCACCCTCCTGCCCCCAGGTCTGCAGCTTAATTTACACGGCGCAAACAGGCGATCACAAACATGAAGGTGTGATCCCACCTCCTGGGGGTGTTCCGGTACTCCCGTACAGCGAATACCCCCTCCTGTCTTGGAATATACTTTTCTCTCCACTGGAAACCACATTCCCCACCCTCTCACCCCTTGCCCACTTTCCCTGCCTGGAAAACTCTCATTTGCCCTTCAAGGATGTTCAAATGTCACCTCCTCCAGGGAATCAGGTAGAAGGTGGGGGGCTCCTTTTCCCATTCTCATCTCTCTGTACTGCAATTAGCTATTGACGCCTGGATCCCTGCCTTGCTTAGGGCTTCCTTTGCAAAAACCTGTGGCTTACAGTTGTTGCAGCTTCCTTTAACTGAGGGCTCACCGTGTGCAGGGTACTGTGCCATGTGCTAGGCTTCCATTGTAACCCTGTGAGGTAAAGCCGGTCAGCACCCTCCTGGCTCACGTGTGGACACGGCGACTTAGGAGAGACTGGGTCATTTGCTGAAGGTCACGCAGCTGGGAACAGGCAGAGCCAGGCTTCGCACTCAGTGTGTCTCAACCCTGGGCTCAGGCTTAATTCACAGGCTTAAACCTCACACAGGACTTCCTGCTTCTCCTGCCTAACACCGTCTGGCACCAGGCAGGTGTTCAAGATATAGCTTTCAAAAATAAGAAAGAAGAATGAAAAGTGGGCTTCAGTTGGAGCACTTACAAAAGGCTCATTAAAAACATGAGCAGTAGTTCAATGCCCGGGCTTGGCACTCAGCTACCTGAGTATGGATCGAGATGTTGGGCAAGGGATCGGCCCTCTCTGTGCCTCAGTTTCTACATCTTTGGAATGGGGACAGCAGTGTCTACGTTTCAGAGGTTTATTATGGCGATGGATGAACTTTGATCCTCACAGGAAGTTTTCATTTTACATGAGATACATGTAAAAGGGCCTGGTTAGCTCCTAAGTTTATTTGTTGCCATCATCGTGTGTCAGGCTTTGCCTGTTCCCCAGTTAATACAGCCCTTCCCTCCCCATAGAGAGGTCCATGGAGACTTTGGGGAGAGCCTGATAAAACTGGTTCTTAAAAATAAAAAAAGCTGTATTGTGGTACTTGCCAATTTCCATGGTGCCCATCGCTCACTAGGCCTTATTTCAAGCTGTGAACATGAGCGGCACTGCAGCCAAGCTTGATGTAGCTCAGGAGTTTTGCTCAACCTCTCTGTGCCCAAGTTTCCTCCTCTGTATGGACCAGCACGAGTACGGAACTCTGTTAGTACCTAACACTCTCGCGATGAATAAACCCAAGACCCTCAGAGAGGCATATTGCACAGAGCACACCATGGAGACGTTGGCCAATGCCACTCTCACTACTGTTTGTCTGGCTCTGAGACTGGCCCAGGCTCAGCATCTGCTCTCCCACACCCTACGTCCCGGCAGGCAGAGTTTTGGTTTTTGCACGTGAGGCCTCTGGATTCTTGCAGCATTCCCCTCTCCAGCTAGAACTGGACTAGAAGTCTGACCCAGGCTGGTCGCTTACGCACCTGTGCTGATAACACACTATTGTGTCTCTGGTCTCTGCCTGCCTCTGACGTCACTTCTAGACTTCCAGATGCCACTTCCTGGCCTAGCCCTGCCAGCCACTGCCTGCGCCTTATCTGAATCTTCCCTGATGAGCTCCTCTGGCATGCGCTCTGCACTTCATCCCTTGCAAAGCTCCTCCCGGAGGCTCAGAGCTAAGTTTGCACCCACCTGCAGCTAGGGAGGCCCCCAGCTGTGCCATATCCCACTATGGGCTCCAGGTCCACACCAGGGTCCCGGGGCCCAGCCCCTGACGTACCCCTTTTGTGTTCAGGCCTGAGTTTGGTGCCTAGGAGAGGCAAGGCAAAGATGGGGCTTGGAAACCTTGGCTTGAGGCCCCTTTGCCAGGGGGATAGAAAAGAATATTAACTAGGGGAGAAAATCCAGATAGAACCAGGACCAAGATCAAAAAAGGGTGGACCTCCTGAAATCACATTTTGAAAATAGCAGCAGCATACCTACTATGCGCCATTTGTCTTTCAGTACCTTATTTTATTAGACCCCTGTGACAAGCTTGTAAAGAAGACATTGTCCTAATTTCTAGATGCAACAGGCACTCAGGGTTAGGGGCTGACACGTCAGCTTCCACTCAGGTGACCGGTGGAGAAGATAGGAACGGAGCCTGATTCTGGGCCCAGGATAGATCATCCTTTCCCTGCCACGTGCCAGTGGACAGCTGGAAGCCAGGGGCCCAGGGCAGGCTGTCCACAAAGGTCCTCCATCATGGGCTGAGTCTCTGAGTGACCAAGCAAGGTCCTCTGGACAAAGGAGCCATCCAGAGGCAGAGAGCCCAGATGAAATACTTTGCACGGCCGCCTTCTCCCCATGGGGCCTTGGGCCAGTGTCCTAAGCTCTTTGAGGCTTGATTCCCCCTCTGTAAGGTGGGAAGGAGGAGAACTGCAGGACTTTGGGGAAGACAGCAGAATGAGTGACCAGGACAGAGACCGTGAAGCGCCTTCCTTTCTGCCTCGGCTGACCTGGCTCAGAGCCCCGTTCCCTGTCTCTCTCCAAGTCACATGACGTGGGAGATGCTCCTGCTCTTTGTGCCAGGCAGTGCCACCAGCTACAAAGGTCTGTTTCCTATTTCCTGGGGCTCTGTTCAGGTTCCCCGAGCTAATGAGAACAGTGCAGGATCGAGTCGCTTGAGGGTAAGAGGGG